ATCAATAAAGCTGGAATGAATAAAAAGTTTTATAAAAACCTCTCCCACTGCGAACCTGCTCCCCTCCAATACTCCCCATTCAGTGAATGACATTCTCCAGCCACCTCTGACTCTTCTTTCTCCCTCAACACCAATATCTAAGCCATCAGCAAATTCTGTGGATGTCCCCTCCAGATCTGTCTGCTTTCACCATCCCTGCTGCCATCAGCTTCACACAAGCCAAACCCCCCAACGATGCCCCACAATGGTGGGTTAAACACCAAGACCCCACCAGAACCCCCCCAGGCCACTCTCCCTGCGCCCTCAAGACCGGCCACTGTAGCTGGCTTCCTGCTTCTCTCACAGCCAAGTTTTGTTCTGTGTGTTTTTTTCCTCCTGAGGCCTTTGTCCATGTATTTTCCTTCTGCCTGGAATGTTCTGCCACTTTCCACGCCTTCTCTCAGACCTTCGCCTGGCCAACTCCACGGAAGCCTTCAAATGTCATTTTAAATGCCATTTCCCCAGAGGGCCTTCCCAGCCTGTACTCCTCACCAATTTCTCAGTCTGAGTCCCTTCTCCCTGGTCAGACCCGCTCGCACCCGGGACTCCCCAGGGCACCTGGAACAATGACTCCCACCTGGCAGGTAGGGGTTACTAGGGTCTTGCTGGGCCTCAGCTAGCAACAGGGCTTCCTGGCACAGCCCCTGCCAACAGCATCCGGCAGAAGAGCAGCCCTCAACACACCCGCATGTACTGGATAGCGAAGAGGATGCTCTCAGGGTCGCTTCTGTTGTTAACTAGGAGTAAGCCTCCCCACGCCCTGAACTCTTCAGAAACCAGCAGCAGAAGGCCCGCCATGCCCCCCGAGCTGACTTGAAAATGCTCCGCGCAGACAGCGGGGGCTCGTCTGAAGTTCTGACCATCACGCCATAACCCATCAGAGTTTTCCGCTCGCTTTCAGCGTTTACCCAAGAACAACAACAAGAAGTTCACGGCACAGTCTGGAGGGCTTTGCTCCTTGGGGCTCAGACGGCTTTCTCACCCCACACCTCGGTGCTCATCACCCCGCAAAACACCCGAGACCAAGAGCCGCTGAGAAATGTACCCTAAGGTAGACTCCACCTCGGCTTCAAAAGGAAACCCCCAAGACAACGTGGTGGGAACTTCTGAAGCCTTTCGCCGTTTTGTAAGGTACACGCTGTACCAAAACACCACCATTTGGGGTACAGATTCTTTTTCTGCCGGGCACAAAGGAAGTGAAATGAAAGCCTTGGTACAAAGACACCGGGGGTGGCGTCCAGGGAGCAGCCTCGAACCCCTCTGTTTACCGGCCCTGGAGGCAGCCCGGCCAAGACTCAGGCTCAACCGCTTACACAAACCAGCTGCCTGGCACTCACTGTGGACAAAACAATTTTAAATATAAATTGAAAAACACCACAGGGAAGGAAACATGAGCTACTTCTGTGAATGAGAAAACAGGACGGGAGGCTGGGAGGGGAGGAGAACCCGGCCCTTATGGATGGTGTCTTGGAGACTTTTAGGAAATAGATGAATGGCGGATGGGGGGTGGGGGGTGGGTAAAAGGGAAAATGGAGGAGAGATGGGTTTGTGTGTAAATTCCTATTTTTTGGCTAGCCCCCGCCCCCCCCAATCCAAAACATCATCCTTGAAGGATAAATTATAACAAACAAGATGGTGTAGCCATTACAGGAACTAAAGTTCATAGGGCTTGCTTCTAAATTTAAATACTATTTAATCAATTGAACTCCACTTGTTGAGAATGTTTATTCTATACATCAATATTTTGTAATGTGGTAATCCACATACCACAGGAAAAAAAATCCAGTCCGACTAAAATATTCAGACAAAATGCTTTTGGCTCCCATGTGAGAATTCTGCCCCAAATATGGACCGGGGAAAAGTTACTTTCTTAGCAGACTGCGACAGTGATAGTCTCCAGTGATTACTAACAAACACTGAACACTTCTCTACTTTCAAAAGAAAACATTAGAAATCGTTATGAAACTGCTTAGCCCAGAAATCACAATAACTTCCAATTTCACAGAAATTAGAAAGCAATCCTTGGACAACTATTTTGAAACACGTCTTATGAAACGCTGTGATGTGACAACATTTCCTTTAAAAAAATGAAAACTAAAATGTGAGGAAGAGCCCAGTGTCTGGGTGAAAACTGGCCATTCATCAGTGCATCTCCACATGGACCACAGTCTCTGGCCAGCGTTGAACCAAATGACACATCAGCCATAATGCAGAGGGACCCCTTTATCCATACAGGCATCCTGTACCTGCCAGGCCAGTTCCAGTCGGCACATCACTCTATGTCCAATGAAAATGCAATGAGAAATGTAGTCCCAAGGTGTATGACTCCTCAGTCCCCAAAACTGTACGTGGTCAACCATCTCCAGCCTTGTTCCACCTACTTTCCATCTCCCTCTACTAATACCCCCTCCCCCCTTCCCACCCCCAGGGCCCAACACCCCTCCTCCTTTCCCCTTAGTGTCAGGTGAAGATTGCAGAAATGCACAATTACAGGGCTGACTCATATAACCAAAGACACCAGTCAGCTGCCACCAGCATTAAGTATTTCACAAGTTTGGTTTCCTATTGTCCAAGCTATGGCTTTTCTCCTCTCTCCAGCTCCCAGAGCCCACCCCTCCACCACCCACCCAAACCGCCCACACCAGGGCCCTTCCCCAGGGCAGGTCCCCAGGAACGGAGCAGAAAGCACAAGAGCTACTGTTACAGCTGCCACCTGGGGCCCCTTTGGACAAGGGTCTCCATCTCAAGGGTGGTGTTCTCCCAAGTGGTTGCCATGGTAAACATGCTTTTGACTAAACAGCAGAGGGAAAAAACAAAAACCCTAACTCCTCTGGCTGCATGCCTCACCAAAACCCACAGGGGCTCCAGAAAAAAATAAGGTTTAATCACTGCTCAGTGTATTTCATTCTGCAAATGAAAATATAAGGTGCTCAAGGCCGACTGGTGGCATCTGTTCTTATGGGGTTTAGGAGGCAGGTGTTAGAGAGGACAGTCACCTGCCCCTCTCCCAATGGCCAAAACCCCACTCCTGCTCACCAGCGTGGCCCGTGGACCTCCCGGACATACCTATGAGGTGCTGTGTCCACTCTGAACCACTTATAAGAATTACAGCTTCTCTCCACATTCAAAGAGAGAAGAGTCCTCCAAGGGATTTTAAAGATAATATCCTATCTTTGTACATAAAAAAAAAAAAAAAATGTGGGCGAGTCCCACACCCAGCATTTCCAAAAGCAGAGAAATAAATGGCAAAGCCTAGACCCATGCTGGGAAATTCGGGGTGGCAGGAAACGTGGAATGGGTGGGCTTCCTCATATCCCCTCGAGGACTCGGACAATCACACTTCTGTAAAATTTTGGGGCGTTGTTACCACACGATTTGACATGGCACCCTGTTTCCTAGGAGAAAGCTGCGTCGGAACCCTGAGCCAACCACTTCTTTACACCAATGACACCGTCCCTGATGATGACCTGATGGAGAGGGAGCAAAACAGAACCAGCCATGGGAAGTTAACATCTCTCCCTTAGGAGGGGACTTTCCACAAGGCCCCGGGAAGGGAGCAGAGAGCGGGTCCAGTCCTCGCTCTGGCCACTAGCACAGCGTGTGACATTGGGCAAGTCACTTAAGGCATCTCTGGGCCTGTTTCCTTTTCTGAGAGCAGGTTGGGCCTACCTGAGCGCTAAGGTCACTTCCAGCCCTGAAATCTTGGCATCGTAAGAGCATGTGTAATTAGGAGCATCCATTTTATTGTGGGGTTAGAGGAAGGAGGAAGTTCCTGGAGAATGTCAATCTTTTCTACATGCCTTATTGATCACAAAAATTCCTAAGACATTTTCACAAACAATGACCCAAGATGTGGCTTTATGGAAATAAATTATTTTCTGATAGATATACACATACATCCACATATATATTTGATATTCCTATAACAGAGGCAAATTCGTTAAATAATATATTCTCAATTACAGCAAGCTACAAAATAAGGAGGCAGTTGACCTGAATTTTGACACAATGCATCCGAGATCTTTCTACTTGAGAAAAATCATTTTGCCATTTTTAGAAATTACAAGTAACACGGAGGCAAAATATATTAATGGGTAACATTTTGTGATACTTAAATAAAAAATAAATGAATTATTCCGTGCTTTGCATAATTCTACCTGTCATGAAATTGTTATAAAAGTGTCTTCCATTCATTATTTCAAAAGTATAAAGTCCAGCTCATGACATAAATCTAAAAAGAGAGGATATCCTAATATGGCTGAGCTATCTTCTCAAGAGGTTAATTTATAAATTCCACTTTCCGAGCCTACAAAATCCTTAGAAAGTGCATTAAAAATATATGTAGACACACACGGTATGGTGTAGTCTCTTAGTACTACAAACAAATGGCTCCTGTATTAATTAAACCCTGTGCTTTCAAAGCCATGGATGTACAGATTAAATTTAATTTAAGCCTTTCTAAGTTCATTTCTAAGTTCAATCAATCATCCCAGAAGACATTTTTCTGATGTTAGTGTAGAGTGTTTCTTTCCAACAATTAAGATAAATTGGGGGGTAGGGGGCTGGAAAAAGTCTAATTTCTAATTCCCTCCTCTGCCACTCACCTCCCCTAAACGACTTTTTCAGGAAAGATTTGGAGTACTACAGTCTTTAAAACTGCCTTGATACCGTTTCCAGTCTGCCCTACACCACGATGATTGTGCTACTAACTGGAGCCCACGAAGCTCGGCTCTACCCCATGCTAGGAGAAAGGACAGGTGGGAAGTTTTCCGGGTAGGTAATAATCGCTAAGGTCCAATAGAAGAAAACAGGTACCTTCTAGACATACACCATATCCAAGAATATGCCAAACAAAATATTTTTAAAGAAAGACTGACACACAAGGCCTGTTATCAACCAAAGAGCATGTTCTTCATCTTCCCCCCAATAAAGGAAGCGATTGCCTCTGTCAGGTCACTCACAACAATGTGCGCCGGCGACGGAGAGCGTGCATCCTTGAGGGCTTGTCTGCTCTGGAGCGTGCCTGCCTGGACATCGAGCAGCGGCCATTTCATCTGCAGATACTGGGGAGCAAACAAAACGAACATGGAAAGTGAATACAGCAAGGTAGTCAACCAAAGACCTTGTGTGCCTATATGCATAACCCATGGATGCAGACAGTGAGGGGGTGGGGAGGGGGGTGAGGGTCTAGGGAGGGGGTCAGGGGGGCTGGAGGGGGAAAGAGGGGGAAAGAGGGGGACATATGTAATACTTTCAACAATAAAGATTAAATAAATAAATACATACATACATACATAAATGGAAAAAAAGAAAATAAACATAGCAGAGAAATGCAAAACAGCTGCCCTGAGAGATAACTCTTGGGGTTCATGACACATGGATCAGAAACTGAAAAACTTAAGAGCGTGTGAATAACAACATCAACGAGAGAAAAACCATCCAACACCCACAGGTTCTTCCTTAGAGTTCATGTTCAATAGGTACATGTATACAACATCAATATTATTGGTAGCTTCAGACAAAATGACCTCATCAACACTACACCTCACTTAGAAGGAGCGGTGGGGAGGGCGAGACGGAGGGCGGGAAGAGACACAGAGATCTCCCGGTGGAGGAAAGCAAGTGGAGTCTCCAGCCAGTGTCCCAAGAGACCATCAACTCTGAATGTTCTCTTTCAGGAACACATTTCTAAAACGCCCTCCTCCCTCGCGTGGAAGAAGCTGAGGATACGGGTGGAACTGTCCCCTGCTGGATGTTACTCAAGGAAGGTGAGGAGGGAATTCCTCCTCCAGAACAAAAATGTAGGGTGTTCCCCAAAAAGTGGATACACACTGATAACTCACTTAATTTTGAAAATGAACTGTATGTTAATAAACACTGACTTCATAATCACTCAAACTGTGTATACATTTTGGGGGGACATCCTGTATTTTTTGGTAAAACATGCACAAACACGGCACAATACAACTTATACCTTCAACTCAAAAGGCTGGAGGAATTCTTAAATGCATACAGGTTTACCACGGAGAGCAAGATAAAGACAGAAGCCAATATGTCTATCTCCACCCTTGTCTGAGGTAGAAAATGAATACACAGTGCAAGGGAGGGGAGCTGCTTCTATCCAAAGTGACATGGCCAGCTTTCAGGGGGACGTACACCATCAACCGATCCAACTCCCCACTGGGCAGATAGGGAAACTGAGGTAAGGTGGCCTGTCTGGTCACTGAGACTTTTAGCACAAGCACGTCCGGGCATTTGACTTTTGTTGGTGACATTACAGCAGTTTCACTCAGGAAAACTTCAGGCCACCAAACAGAACTTAGACACTGCTCCAATTTTAATAAGGACACCGATACCGGCCTTCGCGCCTCCAAAGGCCAATTGATTAAGGCAAGGGTTATGTTGGAGGATATATAAGGAGCCATCTTGATCTTTTCAGAAACCTTTAGCAAAAAGAAAAAAGGCTAGTTTTAATACTAATCCTACAGGAAATGGAACTCAGTGAACACCAATCAGAGCTTGCTTGGTGCATCACAGAGACAAACATGCCGCCCTCAGGGGGCTTATGCAGGAGGGAGCCAACTCCTCCACAAGCCAAGAGAGAACGGGGGACGCGGTGGCCGAGACCCGGGAAATCATGCCCGGGGAATGCCAAGAAGAAGGTGGCATTTCTGAGAAAGAGAACGGGGCCAGCCACACCGAAAAGATTTCAACAGAAAGGACAGCAAAGGGCAGTCCAGAAAGAAGGAAGGGTTCGCTCAAACCCCATGTGACAGAAGAGGGCCAAAGCCACCCACTCGCTTCTCCGTGGGTTCCTCAAAGACACAACCGTCTCGAGAATGAAAACCCAAGTCAGTTCCACCTAAAGCTGGAAGATACTAACCCACGAGTCACCTGCCCAAGTACACAGTCATTCTCCCAAGCTGAGGATGGAGAGATTCCTCTTCAGAGTGTTTACCTAGCAGCATCCTGTGCGCAGGAAGCCCGGTTGCTGGTGCTGGTCACTTGCCCCAAGACCTTGCATCAAATGCCTTTGCTCCAAGGACCTCCAGGTTTTATCTATCGACTAGAGCAGTGATGGCGAACCTTTTGAGCTCGGCGTGTTAGCATTTTGAAAAACCCTAACTTAACTCTGGTGCCGTGTCACATATAGAAATTTTTTGATATCTGCAACCATAGTAAAACAAAGACTTATATTTTTGATATTTATTTTATATATTTAAATGCTTTTAACAAAGAAAAATCAACCAAAAAAATGAGTTCGCATGTCACCTCTGACACGCGTGTCATAGGTTCGCCATCACTGGACTAGAGGCCTGGTCCTCTCTGTGGTGGGGCGGGTGAGGGTCTGGTCCTCTCTGTGGTGGGGCGGGTGAAAGACTTCTAGGAGCCCGGGCCTCCAGACAGGAAATACCAGCAGGCACCCCCCACCCCCCACCCCAGTCACCCTTATAATCAAACCGTTTCCAATACCTCGTTTGGGAGCAGTACCATCCCAAGTTGAGAACCACTGAAATGTTTCCATGGTCTCCCTCTGCCCTATAGCCCAAGCTAGAGGGCTGTGGGCATCGCTTCTGCCTGTCTCATCCTGACTTCGCCCATTCTCACTGGCCACATAAATATATGGGCCTCATTGGTCAAAACCACTCAGCAGAGTCATTTCCTTGAGGCCGACCGAAATGGACACCTGCCAACACTCACCCCTCCATCTCGTAAAAACCCGTGAAGAAAAACGCCCAGCGGAATCTACCACACACCTACATCTCCTGCTACACTCGGTGGGGAAGGATCGATTCATGGACAACTTTTCATCTTTGGCCTTCTGCGAAACGGATTTGATTGCATCCCAAGGACCAGCTCCCCAGGATTAGGAAATCTAGGCTTTATTTAACATGACAGACCTGCCCCGAGGACCCCACCCAAGAATTATCATACCCATAATGCAACATTAATGCGGAGACTTATAATTCTTCCTTTACATAAAAGCTTCATTGTGTGCCATATCCAATCTCCGCGGGCTACCTGCACCACATATTTTTATGAGCCTACATTTCAGCGCTCCGAGCCTACAATACACATAATTTTCAATTATGTTAGGGCAGCCCAGGATCACTGCCTATATAACATTACTGGTTGGAGGAAATGAGACTCGCCCCGCTGCCCAGGGAGAGCTAACCAAATCCAGATGGCAAAGGAAGACGGCCCCAGTCCCGACGACTTGCAGGGACGCCCCAGTGACAGCCCCAACCTCTTGGGCCCAATGCAACTTGATCCCACAGAACGGCTGGATCCCCGCACACCCACGCCCGTCCCTTGGATCTTAACTGGCATTCGGGCTGACGAGGTTCCTTGTGGGGAAGTGAGTATTATGTCGGGATTTTTTAAAGGAAGTTATTAACCTCCTCCAAAAGTGATGGATTTCCCAGGTCTCTTCATCTTCCACAATTGGTCCTTATTAATAGAGAAAATAAATAAATAAAGGGAAGAAAAGGGAAATTGGGTACTATTAGAGCCTCGAGGAAAATCTTTTCCTTCCTGGAGACATTAAGCAGCAGGAAATTCTATTTACTCTGCTGGGTCCTAAAGGAAGACCTGAAAGAAAGGAGCATCTGGGACTCGAGAACCGGCTGGAAAGCCACGCCACGTTTTCCCAACGGTTCCACTTTGGTTTTATATCCTTTGGGGGGAAGAAAAAAAAAAAAGTTCCCACCGTCCCACTATAAAAACAACACTGGGCTCCAGCTCTCTTCCTTTTAGGCTGCTCGACATGGAAATTATGAATTGCCTATAAAAACATTAAACTTTTCAACAAACTGCAATCAAATGGGGCTGTGGGAATTCCTGCATTGAAAACTGTTGAAATGGAGTCTGCTTGACTTTCATTTTGAGGAGAAGAAGAAAAAAAAAATAGCCATCTCAGCTTAAGCATTTCATCCTTTGTTTAACAATAACGATCTGCTCATGGCCCATTAGAGTTTTTCCCAAAATCATATTTTATGATACGTCTTGGGGAGCTTAAGTTAAGCTTTTGGACCTGGGGACAAAGTCTCAAAATATACACAATACCATTGGCCTGACAGGAATCAAGGCTATTTAAAAGCCTGTTAAATTGGTCAGCAAAAAGAGAAAGGCACACATCTCGCATTTCTCCTCCTCCAACTCCAATTAAAAAAGAAAAGGAATAGGAAAGGCACCTGGGGATGGATCTCCCAAATCAGAAGGCGTCTCCGAGATCAGGTTCAAGTGGGCCTGGGAGAACCTGCTCTCATGAAGCACCTCCACCCATGTGGATCCGGATTGGGCAGCGAGGGTAGCGAGAAGGGGCTGATCAGAGAACCCGCCAGCGGAGGGCTGCTGAGGTCTTGGTACAAACTTATTTCCCAAACAAACAGGACAATTCAAAGGACAGCGATGATGATAATGACGTGACTGCCAGGAAACTCCACATCCTTGATAAACTCCAAAGCGGCTTCCCGGCACTCCCTGCCATTCGCTCCATTCCACAGATGGACGGGCCGTGGAGTCTGCCCTATGTTTGTTCAGGGCAGGGTTGGCAAACTTTTCCCGTGAAGGGCCACCCAGTAAATAGCTCAGGCTTTGCAACCCATTCCATTTCTCTCCTAACTACTCAACTCAGCCATAGACCATACACGTATGCACACCTGTATTATGTCATGGCTGTGTGCCAATAAAACTTCATTGACAGACACTGAAATATGGATTTCATATGATTTTCTCGTGTGAGGAGATAGTAGTCTTCTGTTTATTTTTTCCAATCATTTAAAAATAATCAGAATCATTCTCAGCTCACAGGCCACACAAAAGCAGGTGACCAGCCAGCTTTGGCCTGTGGGCCGTGGTCTGCCACCCCTGGCTTAGGGAAGGTTCATGTAAAGACCTGAAGACCATGTCAGACAGGATATGTCCCTTCATGGGTCCTTAAATCCAAGCAGGCGAACACAATCACATAGGAAACCAGTTCGGTGGTCCAAAAGCAATACTTTGGTTTGACTTGTCACTGGCAAGACTCCCGCTTCAGAGGGAAAGTTCGGGAAAGAATCTG